TGTTCCTAAAGTATAACATGTAGTGTATTTAATTCGCGAAAAAACTAGACTGAGAGAAGATGTCAGTATTTAAAAGAAATATACATTGGAGCAATACGTTAGAAATAATTTTAATTAATATTCTTTATTTAATAAAGCAAACTTTTTATTTTATTATAATGATAAATTACATTTCAAATACTAATATAATTGTATTTTATTTGGAATATATTCTAATAGAGTTAAAGAAATTTTAACTACAATTAAAATTGATAAAAATCGTTAATACATAGGAAGATATGTTTATGTGTTGTAAATTTTATAAATTAACAATCAAATCTCAAAATATAACCTTCGTTTTTTCTTAAATTTATGATAATACATATTGTTGTAATATTTAAAACATTTATAAGCAGGCCATGTTTTACATGTGTGATTCACAGTATAAAAAATGTTTCACTTTTCTGTGTTGCATTTAATACGAATGTATACTTAAAAGAAAGCATGATCTTTTTGAAGCAATTTTTGCTTATCGAACTTGTTATAAACCAATCAATTTTTTATACAATTGTTGGAAATTTTTACATATTCCTGATCAAAAAAAAAAGAAATAGTAAAATGACAATTTTTAAATACAAATCATTTTATAATATTTTCCGTATATTTTATTTTACCTCATTTCTATACATTTCTTAAGAAACATATTTATACACATATTTGGCAATAATAGCCTAATACATGACACATATTGACACATTGATAGAATTTGTATTTTAAGATTTAAAAAAAAATTGAAATGAGAAAATAAAAGCACCATATTGTTATTTTTCTAATGGTGCATAATTTAAAAGCTTTTCAATTAAGTCTACGTGTCCAAGAAGCATTCTGCGACAACAGTATCGTTTCAATCCCAATGCATCAAGAGCATCTCTGTAACATACACATGTGTTATGTAGTTATACATTAGTAATTGCAATATTAGTAATATCAATAATATTTGAATAGTAATTTAAATATAACTTAATCAAATACAACATTTAAATATTTTATTTATGTAAATAATATTTATGGAAATAATTATTACATTATTTTTATGTTGTATTATTTTATTACTTTAATATATATTTGCAAAATTTAAAACAAGTTGAAAATTTGAAACAGGAATTATAATCTCTATACAATTAAGGTTAGACTCCTTGTTAATGTTAACTTGGTATGTAAGTTACGTTATATGTATGTATATATTTAATATCTTATTTACTTTTTATTTCATTTATTTTTACAGTTCAATATAATACACTTGTATATATACTTACCCTTCCGTGTATTCCGCTTGTAACAAACCAAGGTACGCTTCCCATTTATTACCGATTACTTTTCCACAAGTGAAACAACGTACAGGTATAATCATTGTGTTTCAAATTTGATAAAACAATTAAATTTATCAGTTTCAAATTGGTATAATCGTTGTTAATAAACTTAAATGCAACGTGTTTAATACAACTTGCACGTTCTCGAACGTATGACGATTTAAATTACAATACACAACTGAAACGTTTGAAGTCTCTAGAATGTATTCTGGTCAGTGTTGCCAATATAATCACTAATATAAAAATAAAGTTAAGTGGTCCGTCCAAGAAGATTATAATATTGAAGAGAGCTTTATATATTTACCTCATTAAATATTAATATCTTTTATTAATAAAACAAAATATATATTGTAAAATAAGTAAAATGGAATTAATTGAACACAAAGATATATTATAGTTAATAGATAACTATTAATTATATAATATACAATTTAAATACATAAGAATAAATAAAGCGATCGCATGTTTGTAACTGTTTTATAACAAAAGTAACTGATTCTAAAATTGTATTTCAAATTTACTTTTAATACAAGAAATATATATTTTTCTTGTTGTTTTTCTCTATCTAAGCATTGTAAATCACTTTAATTTCTTTTTTAATAATTATGCCTATTACTATAGATGTTTCCTAAAATTGTAACGCACTGTACTAAATTAGATATCAATATGGATCTTTTAGATACGACGCAATAACATAATCATGCATAACAACAGTTGAATATTTTCTTTTTTCCTTAATCGATTCTCAATAATATTGTATTACATGAATATGAAAATCATTGAGGAATATTTCAAATAATTTTGTGTATTAATACTACAAACTCCCAACAACTTGATTAATATTAGAAACTTCAAATTAATTTTTTCATATATTTTTTTTTTATACAGTAATTGATAGCTCTAATCTCAACACATACCATGACGCATTAATATTGAAATTTATGAAATTATTATAATATTTTATCAATAAAAAAAAGAAGAAAACAAAGTCGTGAAATATTTTCTCCTATTATCTATATATTTACAATATATATGTCGCAATACATTTATACATTGGACTTTTTACAAGAATAATTTCTGCCATTGCGAAACATGATTTATTTATAATATCTATATCGCGTGGAAAATATCAATGATCTACGTTACGTGAACAATAGAAATGATCTAAAATGATAAAATGAATACAGTATGAGATCTGCCAAGAAATAACAATAAAAAGATAGACGTGAGTTTCAAAAGCAGAAAGATAATTGGTAAGAACGTTCGAAAAGTAAATACACAGGTTTGCGTCTCGCGCGCTAGGAGACAAGCTGTGGCAAAGAGACAGCTGCTCCGATCGAAGGACATGAATAGAGGGGGCGGAAGGGAGAGAGGGACAAAGAAAAATACGAGGCCGAAGCAAAGGGAGAACACCATAAACATACAAGCTCGGATTGGTTCTGCTTTCTCCTTTGTCTACTAGTCTACTGGATGGAAACATGTTATAATACGGTCAGGCTGTTATCAAATCATCATTTTAATTGTTGTTTTTCATTGCGCGTGTTTACGGTGTTGTATCGGAGACCGGAGAGGTCAGAATTTTGGCGCCGTATTACCGACGCGACATCAGTGACAGTGTAAATGGTTATGTTAGCCGAGCGTACTTTCCATACGCGTTTTATCGTATACATTCCCGTATTATATCGTTCTCGGTATCCCCGTTGCACAATCGTATGGACTTTTAATCGAAATCGTGATCACGAACGAATACCTCACATCAGCAATAACGTGGAGTCAAGGTTATATCCTATGCGTCTTTTTCGCTCGTATTGTCAAAATCAGCTGCCATTGCTATAGCGTACGATTCTACTTGTTCTTTTCGGTTTTCCTTTGTTTTCTTACTTGAGCTGTGCTCATCGTTCCGGAAATTTCATTCAGGATTCACATTTTGTTGTTGTGTCTAGCCGTACGTGGCCGTACGCGGCAAGTTAATGCCTTCGTTTATATTTTATATTGAATTTATGCATCACTGATTTTACGAACACAGCCGAACATCAGAGTAAATTTCAACCAGTGTTTTTTTTATATTTTACGAATTTTTTTTTTATATTTTACGATTGTAATTTCTTTGTACGTTTATTATTTATTTGTTCAATAATATTATATTCCATTTTTTTTTTTTATGAAAATAGTTAAAGTTGTTATCTGGCATGTGTTTGGAAGATAGTAATGTTTTTATCTTTGAATTTTGTTACAGAAGAACAAATGAATTAATTTTTTGACAAAGCACAAGTCATTATTTGCACTTTATATATATTATAGTTTTATTTATAAGTATAAGTTTTATAAATTCGATATTAATGAATATCTATTGTTACAAAACGGTAGTAAACAATAGTTGAAAGTAATATATAAAAAAAATATACAATTATAATTGTATTTTTTTATTTGTATTCATAATTTTAGAAGATATGTTGCAGGCTTTGGAGACTGATGTTATATTGTTCACCTGTGTAACAAGGAAATATAATCACGATAAAGCACATTTCTTAGTTTCCATTGAAAGAAACAGGTGGAGAAGAATTTTTAACAGATAGAAAAATACAAATAGTAGAAGTGAGGGTGAAGCGTGGTAGTAAATGCAGTGGTTGAAGAAAAGATGGACCCATCAATGTTTGTTGCATACACCCCTCAAACAAATGGCGTTCCATTGGAGTCCAAGCTTGCTACCTACATGGTATCCATCTGCAATTTGTTCCTGATAAAAATATTTTTTTAATATTCATTATATAATTACGTATACTATTGAAATACCATAAAGACATATGTTAATATAATATTTTTATTATGTATTTTTAATAGAATCGTCAAAGTCCAGGGGTAACTCTAAATACAACAGCTGTTACAAAACATTTATCAAACCTTTCTCTGGATTCACAGAAAAAGGTAACTGCCAGTCCAGAATTTGTACCTGGTAGAGGTCTTACTAGTAGTAACAGCAGTTCTCCGAATCTTTTCAATAATTCCTATCATTCACAAGAGAATGTGGGTGGTACAACATATTTTTACCTTGGAAATGCAGCAACTGATACTGTTGGAACCGAGGAAGCGACTGAAACTGTAAGTAAATATGGAAGTTCAAAAAATTTTTTTGTTACATCTGTTCAATTAATTAATGAATTAATTAACTTGTTTTTATTGGTAGATTGGAAATGTAGGAGCAGGTCAGGTAGGCTATGTCTATCCAGGTACTCCTGCACACCTCCAGCCAGTAAAATCTACAAAACCTCCATCATCTAATAGTTCTTCTGCCCCTTCAACCCCTCCTCCTCAAGCAACCCCCAGTTTCTTTGTCAGTGAGAGTTTAAGAATGGACATTCTCCAAAAAAATGCTTTAACGTTAGCACAACCTGATGTAGTACGATTTCCTGATCTACCAAATGAGGTGGATAATTATCACGAGTTGTGTCCATTGGAACCAATTCATAAACCTGCTTCGACCATGCTTGGATATCAAACTTCAACGTACAAAGCTACCAGCATTAAGAGCGGAACACGTTATTGTCTACGACGTATACATGGTGAATATCTTTATACGCTTACGAATTACTATAAAAAATATTGAAAATATGAAACTGGTAATGAAATAAGCATTTAATATGTTTTTAGATTTCAGACTTGCTAATACAAAGTGTATGGTGCTGGTAGATATGTGGAAACGATTATCGCATACGAATTTGGTGCAGTTAAGAGAAGTTTTTACCACCAAGGCTTTTGGTGACCATTGTCTGTATTAATATTTTAAAATGAAATCGTTAAATGTACTTTTATGAAACAATTTTTTTATTATTTTAGCCATGGTGTTTGTTTACGATTATCATCCCGCATCGGAAACATTATTAACTAAGCATTTCTCAGCAACCGAATTAAATGGTTATACAGATCCATTTTCTTCGGATCCAAATGCTCCCCGACCTTATAGTCATACTAAAAATACTATTTTAAGACAACAACATAGTAGTATGCTACCAGAAAGTGTTATATGGAGCTATATAATTCAACTCACTGCCGCACTTCGTGTTATACATGCTGCTGGTTTGTATCTATCAATTATATTACTATGCATCTTGCTAGTCATTGTCTAGATAATTATAATTGTTTTTTTGTCTCGATCATTTCATAGGTTTGGCATACAGATGTTTAGATCCTACAAAAGTGTTACTCACGTCGCGAACGAGACTTCGTTTAAGTTGTGTAGCTATACCAGATGTTGTTACTTTTGATGGAAACACAGCAAATCCACTTTCGCTTATACCACACTATCAACAAGAAGATTTAATCGCCTTAGGAAAGTTGGTGTTGGCATTAGCATGTCGCAGTCTCCTTGCCGTCCATCGCGACAACATGCAAGCCTCCCTTGAGCTCGTCGCACGTTCCTATTCTACCGATCTTCGAAACCTTATCCTGTTTGTATACATTTTATCTTTCTTACAGACTTCTCTTGCTTAACATTGTGAGAATAATACTTTTTTTTTATTGATCTAATATATTTCATTGCTCGTTTTGATTTATTTTTAATCATCTTGAAATAATACTATTCATATGAGATAGTTTTTGTTATGAAATTGACAATGAAAGAGGAGCAACGTATCTTATGACATATATCTATATTCGTGTTGATGTATGTGTTCATATACGAATATAATTTTACTACAGGTATTTACTTTCTAATCAAACACGAAGAAGTGTAACAGATCTCATGCCAATGATTGGAGCACGATTTTATACGCAATTAGATGCAGCTCAGCTTCGATCTGATGTATTGGAAAATGAAATTGCCAAGGAATTAGAAAACGGAAGATTATTTAAGTTACTTGTAAAACTGGCTACTATTAACGAAAGACCCGAACTTAATATGGAACCTACATGGGCAGAAACTGGTGATCGATACATGCTCAAATTGTTTAGAGATTACGTTTTCCATCAGGTAGCAGCTGATGGAAGACCATGGTTGGATATGGCACATGTTGTATCTTGTTTAAATAAGTTAGATTCAGGTTCTCAAGATAAGGTACACGTTATTCTTTTTTTGAAATCATATTTTTTTATTTCCAATCCTTTTATTTTTAAACAACTTAAATTCCTTTTAGTAATATACAAGTAATTAAAACAATGCAAAATATTGAAGAGTGTTGTATCATTCTTTAGTATGTATTTCTAAATGTATTCTTCTAATATTACAGATATGTCTTATGTCGAGAGACGAGCAGACTGTATTAGTTGTTAGTTATGCAGAGTTACGACAATGTTTGGAAACTTCATTTGGAGAGTTAGTACAATCTGCAAAAGAAGCTGTTTAGGTCCGTGTCACATTTTTTCTCAGCCGACCAGACAGTACATACTCCGAACCATAAATGTGATATCATTTAGCGGTACTATCATTTTAATCTTATCAAGACATAGGAGAGTGAGATTCGGCTCGAGAATTAAGTTTGTGAAAATAATATGTGAACCAGTTTGTATGCATGATTACAAATGTGAAACATTAAATACATGCGAAATACATTCTGGTACCGTCATTTGAATGTAATATATGTGTGTGTAAGGAGATCATGTGATGATGTGTAAATCAGGAAGTGCTTGATCTTTCTGTAAAAGCTATTGCGGTACTATACAAAAAAAAAAAAACAAAAATTGTACACAACTTAATAATGCAATGAAGTCTTAAGAAGTCTTAAGAACAAAAACACCTAAACACAGTCAGTGTTATAGGATAGATCTTAGTTTTTAGGATACAGCTGGTAAGCATTAATTTTGAAATAAATGTTTATTTTTGAAAGCAATCTTAATCAATCCTGTGTAATTATTTCGAAGTGATATATTATTAAGAATCCATTATAATATCTCTAATAATATATTTTTATATTTTAAGTGTTAATTATTATTACAAATATTACTCGTAAACGATACTTACATAAATGTATAACTTACTCGTAGAAATCTGGTACTTCGTTTGTTCCAGTTTATCCAGCTGGCAATCTGTAGATTCGGTTCTTGAACTGTCCTATCTCCATTCCCTGCCTCTCTTCTCTCTTCGACTGCTGTCCGCAATCACTCAAACTTGATCTCATTTCCTTCGCACAATTGCACGACCACAATACGAGTAGACTTGCATACACGCACACTCTCTCAATTGTATCATGCACATGGTCGTCGCTAGCAGTTTATTCGTGAAATGCAACCTTAAACTTATGCATGTATTTTTCAACGTTATACGAGTTCGGAGGTAATACCTATATATATATTTTAAATAACAATTTTCGTACATATAACTTGTAACGAACGAAAATTGCGTAATTACATGATTACAATATGTGTCACATTATTCCTCATTTCTAATGCTCCGCATCGACGCCCATGCATTTATCCTACGTACGTCCTGTGCTTCGAATAAGTGTTCAACTTATACGTACATATGTGGCTGACCGTGGAGTTAAAATAAAAGGCATATTAGAGATCTGTTTCTGTCCAAGACACGACAACCAACTCGGCTGAACCCGTCGTTCTCCATCTAATTGTCTTAATACCGACGTGATTTACTCCCCCGTACCGTGTCACTTCTGACAATCACTTCTCGTATACATATCAAGCATGTACACCTAGCATGATTGCGTGTAAGTCTTCATTTTATTCGACATCAACCCGCTAACCCAGAGACGTCACGCTAACATCGAAGATATTTTTTTTTTTTTATCACATTTAACGACAATGTGTATCTTTTTATAAAAAATAACATTCATTGTTATTAATGATACTGTAACAATCTTTTGTAATAATATTTCTATCAGTAGAAAATATCTTCGATACTAGAAATATTCAGTACATAATTTTTCATAAATTCTATAGTAAAATTTTTCACAAATTTTACAATAAATATATACGTATATATATATTTTTTTACGATTTTGCTATATAATTTTTATATAACTTTTGCTTTATTTTTTTTTTTAGACGTTCTACATTTTAACAATCAATAGTTCCAGTGTAAGTAAATCTACGATTTATTATCTCATAATCATAACGAAAGATTTAAGATAGTAAGACTTATAACAAGATTGTAAAATTGTGTTCGCTTTAAATCCAGTTCTGCCGGTGGTTAAGAAACTTTAAACTGACTACCGGTGCAGCGAACCCTTGCGCAAGGCGATTTTTCTTTTGATCGTCCCACGATCGTGAAACTGGATTGTACGGAAGGTCACATGAAGCACATCGTCAGTGTATGAGTTGAAAAGAGACTGGTCGGTATGCCCCCTGAGCGAGAAACCACTTCTGGCTGGCAATTAAGGAACCAGCGAATGTATATGACCTGAGCTTGGTGAGGAAGAACGTCTTCTATGCGTTCCAAGAAAAGCGGGATACCAACGAAACGTGCTCGCGCAATATATGGCGTACAAGTACTCCGTTCATCTGTGGTTATCGCCCTCTTGTCCCCTCTGCGTATCGGCTTTCGTGAAGTCGAGGTATTTCCACGATAAAAAATTTTACCAGAATTCACTTATCGGGCGTGTAGGTCGAACAAGAACGCGCCATGACTATTGGTCAACGTTGAAGTTCGTTAGCGCGCGTTTTTTTTTTTTTCTTTCCCCTCCATAACGGTTAACCGTTCCTCGGCTCGTGCACACGCACACGAACATCGTACACACCATGTTTTGCATCTGATTCGTTTGAATCGATATTCTTGCCTACTCACAGTCGTGGTTTAATCGCCACGTTACAAAGATTAATCGTTCGCTAGATACGAGAGACAAGTTATCGGGTAATATATGTGTGTCGTGGTAAATTTACATGGCAATGGTAGTAACACGGTTTACATAGGAAATACGAGGTCGATTAAATTATATTATAATCGCTTCTTTCAACAATATATCGTTTCAAACAATTTTTACCTTTCTATCGGATTCATCTTTTAATTAACGAATGCAAATGTCGGAAAGCGCCTGGGTAATTTGATATCTCTTTAAACGATAAAAACGACAATGCAACACGAGTATAAAAACACACTTGCGAAATGATGAATTCCGTTCCGGGGTGAATTACGTTTTCTAACTCGAAATCTCATTTTACGTTACCGCTAACCCCTGTGCCATCACCTACTTCGTCTGCATTTTCGTTTCTAACTACGGAATATCGATTCATACCTGTCTCCCACGGTACAGCGTTGAATTTGAAATTTACATTTGCTCCTAGCTGGCGTAACACGTACCGCCGCCATTCATTTGCCTCCCAGTTCGAAATTAATCCTTTAAACGATCCTCAAACATCGTTAAAACCTCTAATAATTTCGTGTATTCATCTGGAGGACATTGATTCATATTTACTCTTTAGATTACTCTCGAGTTTAATCCCGAGCGGGGCTTCATCTCTTTCTGCTTAATCCCGTTGTTACAAACGATTAGCAACATTATCTCGGGGGCGGTATAATATTTATCATTCCCATGGCTGTAGGGCGAGAACTGTGAGCAGGGAAATGCGGAATAGCAGCGGATTCTGCATACTACAGGTATACACGTTTGAAAATATCCTTGTGAGCAGCGGAACGATACAGATGGGGCGACGTTGGTAGCGGCAACCCCGCGCCGCGTTGCTTGCACGAAGCGAAGGTTGCTGCTACGTGGACTCGGAGGGATGGTAGAGAGGCACAGACACAGAAGAGGGAAGAGGTTGTGTCGTGGAGCGAGTAGAGCGGTCGTGGCTCTGGCAGCAGCAACACGTAGTACACGGTAGCACCGCGACGAGGACGCACACGGTTCGTATCACGTCGCTTCGGTAGTCAGTAGACTCGCTTCGAGCCAGTCTCACTTCGGTCCAGTGGCGCAGCCGCGTTACGCGATACATTTTTTCGTATCTCCAACCACTACCAGCGGCATCATCACCGCTACACCACCACTACTATCACCAGCGTCGCTGTTACCACCGCTACCACCACCTGCACCGTCGAGCGTGTCAACATATACGTAAACGTCAGCAGGACTACAGAGCCACAGTCGGGTTGTTCCTGGAAAATAAGCAAGAGAACGTTTACATCCTCGAGACGGCGTGAGGTATGTAACAATATTGTGCCCTTTCTTCCCTTCGGACCATTTTTTTTCTTCGTTAGAATTCCCGTGTCTCGATCTACGACTCACAAGCGTGAAAATGGTGGACCTTTTACGTGCGCGGGTTCCGTGACTGGAGTGACCGCGCGTCGTCGACGAAGACGCGGAACGAACTCGTGTTCTTCTGGAACATCGTCGCGTTTCGCTCTGCGTGTATCTCCCGTGTATTTCCATCGATTTTCCACAGCAAGACCCGCCCTGTAATTTATCGTTCTCTTTCTCTCTCTCCCTCTCTCTCTCTCTCTCCGTGGATATACTTTATCGTATTTATCGTTTCGCGCCTACAATCGAACTTTAATTTCCTCCGAGACGCCAAGTCGAGATACGAAGCTATCACCCGTGTATTTTGCGGATACACGAATATAATTTTCTCGATTATCGAGATGAGTGTTCGGATCTTTTTTTCGGCGAGCGCGCGCGTGTTTGCCGTCGACGATCGATGGACTCTATCGGCTTCTCTCTTTCACCCTCTATCCACGAATCGTGGTTGGCTGTTTCTTTCCAACGTAATACGCTCGCTAGACGGCCTCCCTCGATGGACCGACCACGCGTCTTACGTATCGATTCTCGATAGAATAAGAAGATCGAAGCCTGATCGTTGTTCAGAGTATTTTCACCAGGTTCTTCTCTCGTGTATTCTAGCAGAGACTTACGTCTTTAATATTCCATCCATTTTTTCAAACGAATTTTTAAATATTATAAACATATGTAGCGTATATATTTATTGTAAATATCTTTTTGACAACTTTCGTCTTTCTTCTTTCATTTTTGTTTATAAAACTTTTGATTGCATTTTATTTGAGCTGAAAAAAAAAAGAAAACCGTGAAAGCAGTTATTTTCCAGCGTTTCACGCTGATTGTTTAATGCGTTTTTTGTGCGTTGCTCTTTTTCTCCGAGACCATAAAGACATCGGTCTCGAATTACAGCCGACAAACCCCATGAACGGAAAGAATTCATTGGAAGGAACTTTGCCAACACTTCGACTACATGCCGGCAGTTCGAAAGTAGTTTTAAGTTTTACGCGAGAGATCGAATCTATTGTTGGAATTGAAAATAGGTATGGAGGTTGTTGAACACAGAATTTGATGGTTGAAGTTTCTTTCAGAATTCTTTTCATTTTCTTTTTTAACCGTAAAATTTTCTTCTTTTCTAACATTTAATATTTCACATTATATAGTTGAGAAAGCAGATATTCCAAATATGTTGCACGAGTCCATTCATTTTAGATTATATAGATAGTTTATTGTTTGAATGTGATTAAATAAATTCTCGACTTTCAAAAATCATCACTGCACAATTTCAACTGGTATCATCTGGAGCGGAATATAATTCCCTATAAAAATGGTAATTACTTCATAATGTATTTGCGATGATCTTTTACCAAAGTTTTCTAAACGAAAATGTGGTAAAAAAGAGAAATGCGCGGCGATATGATAAAATACATTTAACGAATATATCACTTTGATGACATGGTATTCCATAAAAAGATACTAGATATACACATAGTTCATGCGCATAGACTTACCACACACACATAGATGTCTCTCTTGGCTTTTTATGCAATAAAGTCTGCTTCTCTATGTGAAAAGTATATAATACACGTTTATCTTAAACATTACACGGACTTCGTAGAATAGTCGATGGTTAACGATTTTTTTTTTTTCGTGCTGTATGCGTCATCCTCTGCACGTTCGTGTGTTAATTCATTAAAGGATATCGAGTAGACGACATGATGTTGCAACAACTCTTTGAAGCAGATAACACTTGAGAAAAATACGTCGATCGGATATCGGCCGTTTTCTTTCTTCATTCTTGTCTTGTTAGTTGATAAATTCAGTTGCGCTCAATTTAAACGAAAATGGGAACAGTCAGATACTCGTTGTTAGTAGCTTTCTTTTATGAACATGTGCACCGATAGATGGTGTTCTTAACCCCCCCCCCCCCCGCAAGAACTACTAATCTCGGAGATCAAGCATTTCAATTTTTGTTTAATAGATGGCACTGGTAATAGATGTCAAATTAATTCTCACAGGAGGATTGGCAATTGGAATAAAGCGTACTGTTTAACGATAATTGATACTTGTTTGAAAGCGATAACGTGGGACACGAAGACAGTTCTCACAATCGTAGCTGGCCAGTTTCATTATCTATCGGTTGAAATTATATTTACTAACGGGAAGATGGGAATTTACAAATGAGAAAAGTGCTTGGAAAGGTACGAAAAAGTTCATTTCAAATTATTAAACTTCGTATAAATGTCTTTGCCAGTCAGTTAATTATTCAAAGTTTGCTCGATAAAAGTAAGTCTCCTAATTGTTTTGACTAATATAATAAGGCGAAGTTTCGTCGCTAGTAGCGAAATATTATACCTCTTTCTACATTAACGCAACATTTTAAATATTATCAAACGATACGGCGGAAAATGAGAATTAGCTTAACCTTAACCTCTTGCGCTGGAATGACGTGCCACGCACGTCGAGAATATTTGGCCCAAAATTGCAACATTTTCTCAGTTTCAAGTACATTGAAGTATAACCCAGGCAAAACAAATAATAAACTTATTACTTCTTAGTAATTTCTATTCAGTGATGTACCGATGAATTCGAAAAGAAGACGAGTTATTGCATACGGTTTGGTCACTCGTTATGGTCCGTGAACCAGTTACTAACGCAAGAGGTTAAACTAAACTGAAACCTCGAATGTTGTACAATTCTTACTTGCATATGTTTATCGTCTAAAATTTGCATAAACATCTCCAGTTTGTTGTATAATCGTACATATATGCTACCTACAAGAAGTAGAGAGCGATGGATCGTCGCGAGCGTCGAATATGGCGGAGGCCGTGACAAAAAAGCGTATCGCAATTATCGCCGATGGAAAAAAAGAGGAGGGTTGACGCGCTTCGCCATCGCCGGCGAATTAAGTTACACGAGAGCAATTTGAGGGGAAATTGCGTGCAATATTTGCCATTGCCGTGATGGAATCATATTACACCCGAGAAAGAGGGTGAAGCGAGGAGGAGGGTGTAAAAGAAGAGAGAGGGGAGAAAAAGAGAAGGAGAGAAGCACGGGGCCTTGGCAACATGTGAGCAATTCGCAACGTCGTGTTTTATCGTGTCGGGAGAAGGTTTCACGATGATACTGCGACACGCGTATTTTTCACGGGATCTCGAATGACTCGGGGAAAGCTTCGTACGTGGAAAACTGTTTCGATTTTCTTCCGTGGCACATGCTACACGCAAATAACTGGATAGCTTGATGTATGAGTCCTTGAAGCGCGAGTGACACTTATATTCTGATTTCCTGCTTATCGTACCGTCTACGTTTATTCTTAGCGCTGCTGACATTTCTACCTTCTACGATGCTGATTAAAATTATAACGCTGAAATCCATTGATAATTAAAGTTCAAACTAATATACAAATTGATATTAACGACGAAACACATACACGAGGCGAAGAACAGATGACAAGTCGCATTTTCTATTTTTCACAGTTTATTTATTTCTTGAAATTGTGAATGCGTATATCTCGCGATCGGTACAATTTCCATAATTCTCATTCAAAATCCAAAATTAATTTGAAATCTTGCAAGCGTAAAATCTGTTTGAACACGTCTGCGCCATTTTAGATAAAACTAGTTTCATTCGAATAATTTCTAGACGCCCTGCATATTTTGTCACATTAAATTTTGTGCAGTGGGGTTGAGTTCGTGCAGGGTCTTAGTGTCTATTAAGAATATGAATGCATTTAGAGAGTATCATGACCGTATTACCACGCTATATTTCCCTCTTTAATTAACCTCAATTTGTGGTACATCTGGCGACATAGTTGCCGCCAATTTGCTAGCATCTCGCGTTCCCCGAGCAGTTTGTCGTATCGACAGTATCGTTCGAATCGCACTGCTAAATTGTCAGCAAGACATATCGGCTTGAAAGGGGAGGGTGTACGATCGTGGTCCATTGTCAGTACTATACCTAGATAGCATATCACACGTATAACCATGCAAGCTGTTTGCTCGAATAGCTTTCTGTTCTGAAACGTTCATTTACGATAGTTTTGTAGTTTGAACTGGCGTTTCTTTTTCCTTTTCTTGGCGAAGAAAAAGAGAGAAAAAAAGTCCAATAAACGAAGGGAAACCGTAGATACAATAAGCAATATTTGGAATTTAAATGTTTGTTTTCTTTTTCATGTAGAGACAATAAAAATAGATAATTTCTCCTTATACGTTCAAACGTATTTAGGTACGTTTTAATGTAATTTTTATGTTAATTTTTGAAAATTCAAATACTCTGCGCAAAATGTAAAAGTGTTTATACGACGTGGTAACACAAAACCACGACTATCTGATATCTTATCGCTTTACGCGTTTGATCATGAATGATTTACATGTCGCCATGAGATCCGTTTGAAAAAAAAAAAAAAACATGTGACTTTCTATTTAATCGATACTAGACATATCCAGGAACACAGATTTATGCAAATAAATTAACCTTTCGTCTCTTTCTTTTTCTCCATTATGCATTAGGCTTTTTCATGTTTGACGAGAACTTCCGTCTGAGAGTCTTCCGTTAAGAGATGCTAACCTCTTAGAATTTCAATGCTGCGCCTTCCCTGTAGGTATTCATGATATTCCTTTTCCGCTTTTCGTTAACCATTTCTATCCAGACAACACGGCCGACGCGGCTCCATAGAATACCATATTCTTTGTTAAAACATCTGTCATGTATGTGCATACCAGTGTGTTCCAAGTGTCGATTACCTGCTTCTGGCATGTGTCAGTTCCGTGGTTAGCTTGCTCGATAATGTATCGAGCAAGCGTCCTAATAAAATCGATATATACACGTGTGCTGTTTCGGTATTCTATTTTCTACGCTCGTCGTAATTTTGAGCACGGTAATGAGC